ATCCTTCTTCTGCCTAATCAGCTGCCAACTAAGCCAGCGCTGTGTAGCATGTCACCTGAGCAATTGCTTCATCACAAGAAAGAGATCACGAAGCTATTGAATAGCGTTGGGTAGGTCCTACACATTCCCTTACATTTTCCCCCGATTCTCACGGTAGATAAGCATGCCGATGGACCCGGCGAGAAGCAGATGCGCATGGCCGTCAACTGTGGGCGCTCGGAAGTGCAAGCTACTTTTCGACCGTTGAGATTGAGTCGTGGTTCCACCAGATTAGGATGCCCCACGACGATCGCTGGAAGACGGTATTCCGCTCTATCTGGGGCTACTTCGAGTGCAGATGATGCCGTTCGCTCTTTAGGGCGCTCCGGCAAGATTCCAGGGCAAAATAAATGTATACCTGCAGCTGTGGCTCCTCCACGGGGTTATCGTTTACTTGGGTGATCTGCTCATATATACGTCTGAATTCCGTTCCAATTTGGAGCTGATCCGTAAGGTCTTTGGCGTGTTCCATACCATGGCAGCAGTCTACACAGATAGTAGCCAATTGAGATAGGACGAGCGCCCGGAGAGGGCTGCTTATTCTGTAAGGGGCTAATGCGGTCTTCTTACGGCTTGTCCAGGGGCCTATGGGGGAGTATGTTGTTGATTGGTTTTTACTGTATTTATGCAGGGAGGCTATGGCCTTGCATGCCTCGTTCTTTGAGGGGCAACTGCTATCGCTGACAGTGGTCGCATGCAGCGCGGCTGCCCCGTATATCTGATGATGCCTAATTTGATTGCGCTGATATCGGCTTTTCTTCGGATTTTAATAGGACTGCATTCGTTCGAGTATGAAAAGCTTTCACGACGATTTTTGCCGCCTTGCACTTTTCCGCCTTGTCCGGACGCAACTGCATTGACAGACTGCATGCATTTCTCCGTCTTCTCCGGCAGAACCCCTTCCTCTAAGTCGTTGCTTTCCCAAGTCTGCTTCTTAGAGTTTCTGTCCTGCAGCCTCTCCAATAGCACCTTTGATGGTTCTTAGACTTACCAGCTGTATATAGTACACTCTGAGCTGCCGCCAAACAACTACACTGCAGCCGTTTATCGCACAAAACGCTCACATAGATCACATGCATTTCATATCACAAGATTGGCTACTCGAGTATATTGTGCACCTTGCTGGGAGTGTGCTTTAGAACAGCCCCAAGCACAGAGAGACAAGTCAATCCACCCATAGTACGTGATATGGTGGTGTGTCGTCCAGGCCATGTTGGAGTGGTCTGAGCAGTTTTTACATGACCCACAGTTGTTGACGTCTACTCTCTCTCCTGATGCTTCTCCTGATGGCTAAATTCCCCTCGTAGGATACGGATGACGTGGGGAAAAGTCGTGGCCTCTTGAAAGATCCTTTTTGGCCAGGTACACAAAAGCGAGCTCTACGAATACAAAGTTCTAGAGCGTCCTTTCTTGCAGTCCATCTGATGAAATTGTGCTCTTCTACAGACCTTAAACCCCCAACTCCAGCCCCGGGCATTAGCGTCCCCTTTCTCCGGCACCAAGATTGGCACTGCTTGAGTTTAACTACGCCGTCTCAATCTGCTTCAAAGTAGAACAGCGATGCAGGTCATCTGAATTCTCCTCCACGTTGCTTACAGTGAACGCGGGCATGCCCATGTTGCCTTTCGCGGGAAGGAGTCGGTAGGCGAGCGTTGCTACCCACAGTACTGTCAGAAAGCAGCGGAACAAGAATGTGATCCTGGCAGGCGACGGGAAAGAAGCACAGGTACTGTGGTGCAGCAGCAGCATCCAAAACTACCAGTGGGAACCGCAGCACCAGGAACACCACCCGAACGCAGCCGTAGCAACTTTTGCATCACAAGCTCCAACAGCTTTACTGTTGCCACAGGTAAAGTAGCAGGAATTTGCACAGTTTTCCTGCTTAGCTTTAGACTGTTCTCGTATTAAATTACGGGGTTTGGCCTATAAAGCACCTGGTTGGCCACCAACTGCGGCTGATCGAACTGCTGATGCAGCAACAACGTCTACTAAAGCAGGAACAACTTCTGTAGCAAGCTCAGCACGAGCCGCCCTCTCGGTCCACCTACCCTTTGATAGGGAAAATAGCAACGAGACGCTCTGCTGCTCCGGCAAGACTGGGCGACAGCACTTTCACGGTGCTGCTACTCATATGCAGGCTGTCCACTAACAGCCACCTAAGTGTTCAACAGCTGTATGCAGTGTTAGTGCATGCAGCAGAGGTGATTTTGGCGTGCTCGTCTGTAGAGTTACCACATAATACTAATTACACCAAAATGCACTACATCTCACGTGCAGCCACCCCCTGCATCCCCGTCACACCT